GGGGGGGGGGGGGGCACACGGAAACCAGAAAACGAGGTCTTACCTCTGATTCACGAAGGGGGTGGAGAGTTCCGAAATGAGGCGGAAATTGGCGAAATATGGAAGCACCCCCCGCGTCTGCAAAGGCATTGGGGAGGGAAAAGGCAACAGCAACACAGAGGTTAAAACAAATTCAGCAGAAAGACTGATGAGGAAGCTTCCGGAATGACCTATCGAGGTGAACCTACATAAAACACGTGACAGGCAGATACAGTCTGCAGAGAGACTTAAATGGATGCAGACGGCCTGCACAGGGATCTTCGCATCTGTAATTACTTGCAGTAATTATGTAATACGTGTGTTCATTTTAGAACAATAATTACCAAACATGCTACCTGTGCCTTTGAGGGCAGAAACATGTACACGTGTAACAGGCTTTACCTACGAGAAACAGCAGGCAAAAAAAGGACATAATTCATACTTCAAAAGTGCACAACCTCATTGTTTTTATGCATTAGTGTGACCTACATTCCGGCATTAAAACCCTAAAAAATCTCGAATGTTTTGCAATGCAGCTTTCGGGATCGTTCCAGCTTCCTACCAGAACGTATCCATATGCGTAGAGCGCAGCCAAGTGGTGACACACGAAAAATCCATCCCCCAGCGTACTCCAGTAGCACGTCACCGTTACCAGGTCTGCGTTGGACAGAGTGAAGTGGCGTAAGTGCGCCCCCTGCTGCTCAGTCGCAGCAATGACAAGTCACAGCAAACAAGTTTCTATTCATGCCTACAGAGGTATTATAAGGAATGAGAGCCACAGTCTGCATTAGGCAGGACTCACCGTAAAGTAGGTAACCGCAGGCTATAGCTACGTTAATCTGCACCAGCTTGGGGTCTCCCCTGTGTGGCAACGACAACACAGATATTAAAACAAGTAAGACAGCAACTGTGAAAAAAAATCAGGGGCCCCGTTTCACGAAGCAGCACTTCCTGTTCAGCCAGATAACTTGGCAGATTTAAGGTGGTCTGGGCTAAATTAACTTTATCTTCATTCACTTACATCTAGCCCAGACTTCCTTAAATCCAACATAGTTAATTATCTTAATTTTGTAGGTGCTGTATGCTGCTGCGTAGGGATCCGGTGACCCATTGGCTCTGGCTGTCTGTTAGCAGCAGCTGCAATTTCAAATGCAGGTGGACACATGTGTTTGCGCAGGTGTGTAAGCAGACGGAGCGTGACGCTGGTCCTGTCATGACCTCGGGGGACCTCGGCGTCACAGACCAGGCCGCTGATGCGTCGACAGTCCAGTATGCAACACACGCTGCATTCCCAGTTCCCATTTCCACAGTGTCCTGACACAGAAACACACACACACACACACACACATTTGTATTCATATCTTTATGGGGACTCTCCATTAATTTCTATGGGAAAAACCCTAATCCTTAAAATGTCAACCTTAACCCCTACTCAGCCCTAACCTTAAGTAACCAAACAGAATACAAGACTTTTGGACTTTTGGCATTTTTAGTTTTCTGATTGCTCACAGATTTTTATAAAATTGAGTTGCTAAAAAGAGTCAGGTTTGGTCCCCATAATGTAGTGTATACAACCCACACACACACACACACACACACCCCCCAAATGAACCTATCCAATAAAAGATTATCTTCTCAAAGGAATTGTTCAAATAAACTGTAATTCTGCATGTTTACCTCAATAACCCACAATTATTCTGATAAATCCATTAACAAACATGAGATTAGTCGGAAACAATCCTTGAGGCAGGAAATGCACAGATCAGCGTGATGCTTAGGCGGGTAAATCTGTCACACGGAAAGTTTTAATTTATTAATGCCGTAAATCCCCCAGCTCTCCGAGCTGCTTCCCGCGATGTGACACTTGGCGATGGCAGAGCGGAAACTAACCTTCCAGCCACGTGAGAAGAGAAAGACGACGTGTGGAAATGCTGAATGGTGATTGGAGGAGCCTGAGAGAGAAACACGAATGGGTGGGCAGAGTGTGGAAATGCTGAATGGTGATTGGAGGAGCCTGAGAGAGAAACACGAATGGGTGGGCATGGTGCAGAATTGCTGAATAGTGACTGGAGAAATCTGGGAGAGAACCACGAATGGGTGGGCAGAGTGAGGAAATGCTGAATGGTGATTGGAGGAGCCTGGAAGAGAAACACAAATGGGTGGGCAGGGTGCGGAAATGCTGAATGGTGTTTGGAGGAGCCTGGGAGAGAACCACGAATGGTTGGGCAGGGAGTGGAAATGCTGAATGGGGATTGGATGAGCCTGTGGAGTTTATTATTCGACTTTCACTAATGATGGTGCATCGGGAAGGGGGGGTCACAGAATGTGCCAACTGTACAGACTGACCACAAAAAGGGGCTGATTCACCCATGACACCCCCTAACCCCCGCCAGTCCTGCCCGGCTGCACTCACCACACTGGATCCACGTTGACGGCGTCATCAAACCACAGGATGTACAGGCAGAAGAAGCCGACGATGAGGGCGTGGATGGTGGACACCACCCTGGAAGGAGAGTGGGACCACCTCTGTTTTTAGTGCTGTATCATATCCCGTTAGCCTGCCGCTAAAGCTGTATCATATCCCGTTAGCCTGCCGCTAAAGCTGTATCATATCCCGTTAGCCTGCCGCTAAACCGGCAATGACCCTCTTAAGCAATATGCCCACTATAAATAACCAAGGTGCAGTGACAATTTCACTAGCCTACTTTAACCCGCATAAAATAAACAGATTACCCAGGGCAAAACAATCAGATATTGCATCTACACACTCTCTCACACTTCCTGCAGATTTTGCAATGATTGGTTCCCTTTCCATCGAGGCCCTGCCATTGGGCAGCGCGGGCCAGTCAGGCTGACACTCTGACTTCCCAGATCAGTACCTGAGGTAACTGGAAGCTGTGGGCCCTGATCTCCCTCCCTGTTAGATTGTGTTACACTATCCGACCAGTAAGGGGAAAATATGTATGTTTTATGAGTAAGACGATAAGCCAGCTACACGTCTGCAATATCTAATATCGCTTTTCCGTGAATAATGTATAGTAATAACAACATAGACATTAAGGGGGATGATTAACTTATATAAATGAAGGTAACCCTTACACTCGCCGTCCAGAGACGATGCAAGAACACATTAACCTTTAATATTCAAAGTGTGAGTCTCAGACTCTCTGCGAACGTGGGTGAGGCCTTATTACAGAGTCAGTCATTCAAGAATTAATTAGGGTACGGAGCATGAGCACAGAGTCGTATCAGTCAGTTTCCTCTAACCCCCAAATTAATATGGCAGCTCTGACCTTTACACACTGGCCAGGGTAAGGCCATGTTAAGTGTGAGGTACTATTTACACGGCACTTTAAAATGGTACTGCCAATATTACTTTATTGCTGTTTGTATTAGTGAGAGTTCAAGTACACAGGAATTCTTCAGTCTTCAAATATCCCATCTCACTCTCCTATGAGACACATATAGAGGTGATGGTGGAAGCTCAGCCATTTATTAAGGGCCTTGCTGAAGAGGTCAAAGGTGATACAAGCTGATATATCTGCTGGCCAGGGGATTCAAACCAGTGACCTTCCGGTAACTGGCACAGAGCCACACAAAAGTGTGTATAAAACTCAATAAAGAACTTAAAGTTTTTACATTCAAATGTAACAATGTGACACATTGATTTAGAATTTTTAAATCGTATCTAATTGTCAACCATATGTTTAATTTGCCATTAAAGTGCAGACAGTTAAATAAAAAAAATAAAAAAAAGACCATGCAGGGAAATGTTGTGCATTATGTGACATCATGACGGGAGTCCTGTCGAAGTGCAAAGCCTGCTGAGAGGCGGGCAGACAGGGGCTGCAGCCGTGCTGCCGGGACCGACACGTCCTCACCTGGAGTTCCACTCGGTGAGCTTGCTGGGGGGCAGGCGCCTGTAGGCGGGGGTGACGGCCGAGGAGAGCAGCGGACTGACCACAAAGAAGAGCAGGTGGAAAGACAGGAAGCTGCCGCCCACCACTGCCAGCTCTCTCATCTCCATCCCTCTGCCGGGAGACGGGGGGCGGGGGGGCAGAGGGTAAGGGGTGGGCGTCCCCTTTAACACAACTATCAAATAAAGGCCAGCCTTTCCTCCTCATTTCTCCTCATTTCATTTCCCTGGACATAAAGGGACTGAGGTGTTCAGCTTGGGCTTTTCTTCAAATTTTAGCTTAAATTCATTCATATCTTTGGAGAGGAACAAACAGATTTAAGGAGTCCGAGGGCCCCCTGTCATGCAGTCGCAGCGAGACCCTACAGAGAAAAGCTACGGCTAAACAGCCAAAAGCAGACAAACACGCTGGCGATGTTTCAAACGACAGGCGAAAACAGCGTGTCAGGCAAGTTCTCCTCCTCTGACTCTACTGCCTGTTTTCCAACGAACTCTAACTCTTACCTTCTAACGCCCCCCCCCCTTCTGCTGCAGGTAATTTTATCTTCCCCCCCATCACAGTAAGTGAGAAGCGAAAGTTAATTAAAATTGCATTAATACAGCCAGATGGTCAGAAGCATTTTTAATGATGAATCTGTTTCACAATCTATAACTATAATATCTGCAGTAGCATGTTTGAAACTTATGTCTGATTGAATGCTGGATGCTGATATTCTGAAACCCACTCAGCGCCCAGATTATTAACAAACAGCCAGTGACGGAGGCCGCATAAATGCAGCACATAAACAGGCTCTGTAGGGTCACCGCTTTTTGGCTAAGCATTAGATGCCTGGTGGTTGATTTTGAATCCGGTGTGATTGCTTTGTGCCAGACGAGGTGGTCCCGGTATCTCAGAGTGGGCCACCTACCTGGATTTTCAAATAATAAGGTGTCGGGAGTTTAAAGAGAATACGGTAGCATCCAATCGGGGCAGTTCGGTTGCTGAAAACACCTTGCTAATGACCGAGCTCAAAGGAGAATTACTGCACTGGTTAAAGGTGACTGAAAGGCCACCATCCCCCCTTTAAATATACAGACAATAACTTAATTGCATCTTTGAAATGGGAGCCCCGGCCTCCAGTTACCCGACTCCAGTTCAGCCATTAAGAGTCAGGGTGAGGAGAGAAGCTACGGCAGCGCAGGCGATCCCGTAATGGGAAATCTCACTGGATTATTTACGGCATATTTCCGGAAAAGCGGAGGCTAGATCGGCGTAGCGCTACGTGCAGGTGATCCAGAATCGGGGACGGGTCAGCGACACAGCGCCCTGCGATAACTTCAGAACGCTTGCCAGTGAACGTCTGCTAATTGTACAATTTTACACAGACGAATAACGCCTCGGTGCTCGCGGTCCCCTGAAGGCTGGGATTTAGCCCTAGAAGGGTGTGGGGAATCAGGGTGTGCACTGACAGTCTCCCAAGGGAGGGTCGGGTGTCCACAATTATTAGTAACAGATTCAGTCTCACTTTTCCCTTTACGCTTACAGTTCTGGCTTTTCCGTTTCGTTTGTCTTTACTTGTGTCGCGGCAGCTCAGATCCCCGCTGCTCCCCAAGAAGTAAAAAGCCAATAATCTTGGCCCCAATAAAGCCGTCAATCGCCACACAGATCTCTGTTACGTGGTTCAGATCCAAATCCCAAACCCATGAACTAAAATCACAATCATATGGCCCGACTGCTCACAAGTCGGATTACTGCAAAGTCCCAATGCTTATCGCTCCTACTGCACAATTTGCAATGTTGCAAAACTCACAATGACCCCAATTATGGCTGCACTGTATCTAATCTTCGGTATAAACAGCTGTCAGCGAAGGACAAACACAAAGCTCTGCTGTCAGAGGACAGACGGTAAGTGTTTTCCCGACTGGAGCAAAGAGCGGTCAGTAGATCGACTGACTGAAATCCATTCTTTTTTTGGGACCGCCAAACACAACAAATACAGCACTTTGCAAACGTCTTAGGTAGTCAAAAGAAATGCTGAAAGCTGATTATCTGGATAGTAAGTGTATATTTGCACAGAAGAACACATTTTGACATTAGAATATATGCAAATTGAGAGTAACACAATAAAAACTAACAGGGATTCCTTCTGTCCGCCAAACAGTTACTGATGTAGTTGGACGGCTAGATGAACACCGATTCGGTTCCCAAACACCTCCTCAGGGGCACCTCAGCCATTCCATTTCACCACCTGCAAAGAACCTCAACAGGAGTCCAACAATTCTTATGAGAAACACTAGAAAAGCATTTGGATAAGGGAGGGAGATACTTCATGGTTAAACTTATACTTTGGGCAGAATTTTCACTAAACTTGTGATTTTATCCATTACCGTACATTTAGAAATCGCTGCCTGCCGCACAGTCAGGTTACCACGGACGCCCGCTCCATTCACAATGATAGCTGAACATCTGGTTGCACCAGCTACTAACGTATGTAATTCAAGAGTACAACAGCAGAACCCCTGGCAGGACCAAAGCTGAGAACCTTCAGGTCCATATCCTTCACTACTGTAAGGTGACCAACGAGGAATGGGAGGTGTACTTTGCACGAAGCTCGATTTCCTTCTCTTCGATTTCTGACAGCTTATGTTAATGAGGAAACACTTAATTAAAGAGAATACACAGGCATCCTTATACATGTCACCTCCCAAAGGTCCATAGGACAACTCAGCTCCCAGAAAAACTGCATTTTCAGGGCCAGAAGAACTCAAAGAAAACTTCAGTGAGATGGAAATTTAACAGCAAACATTATCGCCGACATAATAAAGTCCATTTAATGACATATAATATTATCAAGGTCTGATTTTAATTTTAAATCATTCGCGTAATGAAATTAAATGCAGGTAGTGAAAGGTAATGAACGCGTCGTAGCTGTGTTGTACAGCCAAAAACAACAGTAATGGGACCTCCGCCCCCCCCCCCCCCCCCNAAAAAAAAAAAAAAAAACAACAACAACACAGTATTCATTACTTACAATCGCTTCCTTACTGAAATCAATATGTCGATGAGCATATTAAATAACACAACAGTCTTCTGGTGAATGTTTCCACAGCGAAATTTAGTAGAGTTAGTTTGTAAGTTTCCATTGCGTGCATAGCTACCTGACAATCCAGTCTTAGTCTACGTGTCAACTGCTTTAGTGCATAACAAAGTTACCGAGTCTCCTACAAAGCTTAAGTCCCTGTCTCTAAAAAGAATATTTGCACTCTGCAATCATAACTTCTAAATGCTCTCCTTAAGGTAATTTTAACTGCAAAAAGGAAAAAAATGCCAAATATTTTAAAAATACCTGATGACAGTAGCATAGGTCTATCGATGAGTGTGCTGTCGTCCTTCGACGCCTACAAACTAGCCCTAACTTCGTATAAAACGTACTTTTTCGGATATTTTCTAGCGGTTTTGCAAGATCTTTATATCCGCAGGTTGCCACAGCAGCAGAAGTTGGACACAGAGCAGCGATCGCGGCTCACCGCTCAGAAAGTTCATTGCGCCGTTTTATATTTCGGCACTTTACAAATGAATGGAATTCTGCGTCACGCCGCAGGCTCCGCCCACCGACGTCCCTCCAGATCTCCGCGCCTGCCAAAGCGAAGCTTGAGAAACAGTCAGGTCCCATTCAGCTGCTCTTTGGGTGGCCTCAATCCCACACACAAATGAAACCCGACTTCACTGCAGACTGAAATGCGGGGCACATTTCCCATCCCCATTTTTCTAAGCGGAAGGCATGACATCCATTCCTGTAGGCATCAACCCTGGAAAAAAGGAAAAGATCGTATAGCTGAACACAATTATTTGCTGGAGAGAGAGAAAGAAGGAAAAAAGACAGAACGAGAGAGAAAGACAGCCAAACGTTTTCTTGATAATGCAGTACGTTACCGAAACCTAAATTTCTCACAATATGTTGTTCTACACGAAAGATGATATGGCCCGGGAAGACGTTAGTCAACCTTTAATACCAAACGACAAATTAACATTTTTAAAGCCATTATATTTATTTCTATTGATATACACGTATTTACCACATATTCAACTATTTATACGCTTAAAGTGAATATATGCAGCATAAATTTTAAGATAATATTTAAATGTAATTTAGAAAACTGCAAATAACTCCTGCCACTTACAAAGCAAGTTAAATTGATGCTGAATTTAATTCCTGGTATTTTTAGCGTAATTGTAGATGTCTTGACACATCGAAATCATTTACTGTTCATTATTAGCGACCAGGGGTGTACCTAGAAATTCTGGGGCCCCTGACAAAATGTCGCGTGCTCCCCCGTCCAATTTCATGTATTCCAGGTCCCCTGTCAAACGCTGGGGGCCCTGAATCTGCCTGGGTACCCATGTCCCCTTCGACGCCCCTGTTAGCGACATCCATAGAGGGCATTTTGACTTGTCAAAAATCTTACTGAAATCTAGACGTAAAATGTGCATTTAAAGCCAGCATGTGTAATACCACGGCTGGACAGAAGATGGCAACATTGTCTCGTTGCTGCATTACAGTAGTTTAATATTGATCTTTATTCTAATTGGATATATCACGGACGCGCTCAACGTTCCGATGTAATACACTTAACAGGTATCTAAAAGGGAGTTACCCTACCCTCTCTAACTGCATCCATCTACTGTTCATTAGCATACTGAACACGAAGAATAAAATTATGTTTAGAAGGAAAACAGAGGAGAACTCAGATTTAAAAAGGTAATAGATTTTGACAACAAATAACGTGGAAAAATATTGCCTTATCTCTTTAGGAACATTAAAATAAACGGCAGTGTTACTCTGTAGCGGGAATGAATCACATCAGTAAATATCTATCTAGGCCTATATGAATGGTTGCAATATTAATTTACAAACCACGTTCGTCTGTGGCACAACAGAAAGCACAAAAATGTTCTTTCAGTGTGTTGAACGCCTCCATTCAGTGCTCCTTTCTCTGCACCATTGAGATATCGCTTTAGCGTAGCCTTGCTGCGGTTTAAGCGTGCATGTGCTTGTGTTGGAAAACGGAGCTTTTGACTAGGGCTGGGAAATAGGATTCTTTTTATTGAAGACTTTTAAAAAACTAAAGTTAGAGTTAAAAAAAAAACTTTCCCGAACTAGCGCAGCAGACACGACAAACGCACACGTTTTAAAACGAGATTATTGCACCTTTTGCTTGTTACATCCGCAGCCAGATACTGCAGAGGGACCGCGTGCTGCTTATTACCTCCGGCATAGTGATTTTATTTTTCTTTACTCAGATTGAATTTCTACATTGGGTTGGAAAAAACGTGGGCGGCTTTAAATTTCACACAGAAACACACTCACGAAAACAGTTTGGTCACAGAAGAGTAATATGATTTGAACACTTTAAACGACGAATAAGAATGCCCGACTCACACTTTGTGACAACTATTATACATCTGTCAAACGGCAGCATGACACGCCACGCTATCTGAATGGCTGTACGCTATTTTTGACAGCACTGACACATCTGTTGAAAATTGCAACAAGCGATTTAATACTCAGAAGCGCTGCATGATGTCGATGTTGGGAAAAAAAATCTGAAAAAATTGTTACAAGGCAGTTAGATGCTCAGTTGCGTATGAATGTCAACAGCGTTAAAGGTTAACCAGCCGGGACCCGGCAGCCAGCGATCGCTGCGGGAATACTGACACAACCTGGCAGATAAGAGCACTGAAAACAATTATATCCCCATTGTGTGGACAGTCTGTGTATTTCTGTATAGTGCGGACGGAGAGAGAATTATACTGAATGTTTAGTAATGAGATAAATGAATACATTATGAGAATAGTAAGCGCGTTTCATCGAAGTGTTGCATATAATTAAATATACATTTCCGTATTCTGTACCTATCCATGTGGCCCATATTTGGAAATCACCCGCCACCCGCTCCTGCAGTGTCGTTCTTTATCAAATCACGCGGCTAATTAACAAAAGATTACGCAGCAATTAGCGGTCCATTAATTATACACTTATTAATTTAGACCTGCAGAGTGAGGGAGTGGGAATGGATAGAAGAAAGACGTTTTTGTTTGTGTGGCCAGAAGCTGACAAGGTAGTTTCATTTGATAAATTTGAGAATAGACTAAGATGCCAAATGAACATAGCATGTTCATCTTGTGTTTAAGTGTGTGTGTGTGTGTGTGTGTGTCTTTGAGAGACGAAACATCTGACAATTAAAGCTCTTTGCAGAAGAATCAGGAGAGTGATGATTAATATTAAAGTTAATATTAATTAGTTTCCCTCTGTCTTTCCCAATCACCCCACTTTCCATTCCCCCTACTACCCTTTTGTCAAAAACCAGGGTCAAATGTCATTCCTCCTTGTTGTCAGGGTAGCCAATCACCTCATATTCTGCAGCAACCGTTGTCCAGGCAACCAAGGGATTTGGTTGCTAGGTACCAGGAGCTATGCACAGGATTGTTATTTATTTATTTATAATCTTTATTAGTTTATCTATTCTAAATGCGCACAGACCCTGACACACGAAGACACACACACACACACACAATGTGCAGCAATACGTTGTTGCTCCAGCTGTTTACGGGATTGTTAAACCAGCACTACTACACACATAACCCTGGGCTACCAAACGTGTGTAAAAGCACCAGACAGTCAATACTGGTGGCCCTCTAACACTTTAGTCGCTTCTGTTTTTCTGTGCTTATGTGGCCTGTCTCCAGGGACGGACACATATCTTTCGGGTGTTTGGATTCGCATTAACCTAATGAGGGTAGTTTCTTTACAGAGTTAATTACACATCTCTAACTGGCTGAACATGAGCTTTTGTCTGGAAGAAAAAAACGTACGACATAATCATAGCGGAAGACAAAATCAACGGCGATTACTACAACAGCTAGCTAGCGGCCCCCCAAGTCGAATTTCACTGTTATTTTCACATTTTAATGCTAGTTGTAACACTGACAAACGTGGAGGCCAGAAATATCGGACGACACATTTCCTTCGAGTGAAGTTCACCAGATATCGGCGTGTCAGTAGGGTGATTCCTCACTGCCTATACGGTCAAGTGACGTCCATGTGGCTGCAAGCAGCCTTTAGTCACTGTGAAATGCAGTGACACTGAAACAGGCAGAGCGCCATTTCAGCCCTGGAATACTCCATTCTGTTTGAAATGCAGTGCGGAGGGCTGGCCAAAGAGCATTATTAAATTTTCATTTGGGGAGAGTCTTGCGTCATGGATACAATCACCTTTGGAGGTCCTGTGGGTTTACAAACTGGGGACCCTCCCACCCCTGCCCAAATACTATCACCCCATCAGTGCCCCACCCAACGTCTTTGCTAGTGGCAGAGTTCTTTGACTCATGGGGGGTCGAGGAGAAGCTGTCGCCGTGAAAACATGGGATTTACATAATCTTGTTAAATCCCATTTCAAAAGTGCTAAATTATGAACGCTGAAAAAATGAAACGGCGAAGCTGATAAATAATTCGATACCCGCCTTGGGATTTTTCACTCACGCCTACTCTTTGTTCCCTGTAATGCCATGCTGCTTCTTATCCCATAATACTCTGCCACGCACAGTACTGCAAGCTGGCGAGTAACTTACAGCAGCTCGACAGGCGCACGCACACACACACACATACTCACACACACACACTTACACAATCTCACACATACACATACTCACACACACACACCCACACACACATACACACTCACACACACATACGCATACTGATACACACACACATACTCACACACACATACTCACACACACATACTCACACACACGGCTCCGCTCTGGCTGCCTGTACATTTCCCCATGCGCGACTCTTCAAGTGAAAGTTTCCTAATTAAACTCTGCAGGTGTTGCAGACTGTGCTCCATGCTGCTGAATTTTAGCAATATGTGACATTTCTTTAGTTTTATTATATTTTCCTTTGTTGGATGTTGAACATTTCGAAGATTAATTAATTTACACAATCCATCCATCCATCCAGTTGTTTATCTATAGATACGAGATAAACAAACAACGATCGACAAGAACATAATTTCAGAAGAGTAATTACAATTTGCTACATTAAACTCAGGTGCTTACCCTGGCAGGGGGGAGGGGGGTCAGTGTTGGAGCCTCTTCCCTACCTTCCAACACCCAAAATGGCAGCTGCAGTTTGCACTGAAGTGCGGGGCCCTTGGAGCCAATGGCTTCCACTCAGCTACGTGTATTCTCAAGCAATAACATCCAAATCCGTATTATCGGCCTAAGAATACCCGTGGTCGAGCCTGGAGCTCTGGGCCGCTACCCCTGCTGCCATCCTCCTCTTCACGGCACACAGAGCGTCTGCGAAGGACCAAAAAAACAGAATAAGAGCATGTTGGGGAAACAGCATTTCTACGAGGCGTGAGAGACCCAAGGAGGCAGACATGTTGGATAACCAGATGCCTGCAGGGAGAGTGATGTTCAAGGACAGGAAGCAGAAAACTACAAAATCCAGACCTTCACCATACCACCAGAAAAGGTGCTTAGACCAAACTGGTGTCCCACTGAGGGCATACCCTGCCTAGTGGGATAGGACCCAGGCCTCTTCCTGGAGAAGCAGGAGGAAGATGGATGGCAGTAATAGTACTGCATTAGCTTCAGCGGCAGACTGTGAGTAGTAATAGTACTGCATTAGCTTCAGAGCCAGACTGAGTATTAATAGTATACTGCATTAGCTTCAGAGGCAAACTGTGAATATTAATAGTACTGCATTAGTTTCAGAGGCAGACTGTGAGTTGTAACAAATACTGCATTAGCTTCAGAGGCAGACTGTGAATATTAATAGTACTGCATTAGCTTCAGAGGCAGACTGTGAGTTGTAACAAGTACTGCATTAGCTTCAGAGGCAGACTGTGAATAGTAATAGTACTGCATTAGTTTCAGAGGCAGACTGAGTTGTAACAAGTACTGCATTAGCTTCAGATGCAGACTGTGAATAGTAATAGTACTGCATTAGCTTCAGAGGCAGACTGAGTTGTAACAAGTACTGCATTAGCTTCAGATGCAGACTGTGAATAGTAATAGTACTGCATTAGTTTCAGAGGCAGACTGAGTTGTAATAAGTACTGCATTAGCTTCAGATGCAGACTGTGAGTAGTAATAGTACTGCATTAGCTTCAGAGGCAGACTGTGAGTAGTAATAGTACTGCATTAGCTTCAGAGGCAGACAGCGTGTAGTAATAGTACTGCTTTAGCTTCAGTGGCAGACTGTGATTAGTAATAGTACTGCATTAGCTACAGTGAGTAGCAGTTGCAAGAATAAATACTAAATACTGTGTAATGTACAAGGTACGCTAGATGGCTCAACATGCAGTGAGGTGCAGAAGGTGGTGGGTGGGTCACAAACAGAGCCATTTAAAGATGCGTTCAATAACTAACACCCATGTTTGGGAGCTCAGTGTAGCGGCTGTCAGGAAGCACAGCCAGAGGCAGAGGGGAGGGCAGCACTGCTGGGGGGCAGCTGGGATCGTTATCACACTGCTTGGCCTCCCAGCACCTCCACAAGCCAATCACGGGGAAGACGGTGAGAGTGTTTAGGGAAGGGGGAGGCGACAGGGCGGGGGTGTTTAGGGAAGGGGGAGGCGACAGGGCGGGGGTGTTTAGGGAAGGGGGGGTGGGGAGCTAAGGGGCCCCAAACAGTCAGGCACAGGCAGTGCAGTCGGCCGGATAATGACTCCTGTGGAAACCTGGTGCTGATGCCACATTCCAAGCTGAAGATGGACGACACCTCAGAGCGACACGGGAGAGCAAAACGGCAAAGTGAAACGGGAAGAAACGGTTACATCGGGAGCGGGAGGGGTGGGGGGGGGCACAGGCACAACCCCCCCCCCCCACTGAGGAGCCTGAGTGCTGCCCTATGGCTTCATATAATCTGCCCTCACCGTTCATCTAATCAATGCTAATCAGGGACAGTCACCCAATCAGAGCCCATGCTACCTAACCGTATGGCCTCAGAGTGACGCACCAGCCGGACTGACCAGACCCGGCTAATTATGAAAGGGACATCAGCACAGGCGTCCGGCAGCCTGGGATTAATGATCATGGTCCTGTCCTCCAGCTCCCTCGCGGGCGTGGCCTCCTGACCTGTGCGGGGCACTGATCGCCAGGCAGGCCGGGACGGGGGCTGCCTTCTGCACCGTGGACAGCTCTCAGCAGACCCACCCCCCCAGGCTACACCTCCTTCCCAAACAGAAGCCTCCTGGTGTCTCTCACTGCCTACAGCTGGCCATCCACCTCTCCTGTCTCCGTCTCCCCATGCCTTTCAGTCTCCTGTTCCCATTACCACTCACTGCAACATTCTTACTGTCTGTCTTCCTCCATCTGTTTGCTGACTTCTCCCTCCCCTCCTCTCTCTCTCTGTTGCCCCCCCCCCCCTTCAGTTTCTGCTGGTTTGGACTCCATGTCCCACCCCATTTCCTGACTGGGACCATTATAAGCACACACACACACACACACACACACACACACACACACACACAGAAATACTCATCCCCAGTCAACACAAAACAGATGGGATGAAACTTTTCCATTTTTTATGCAGTGTCTCACTCTTGATCAATAAGAATTTCGCCGACAAAAAAATGAGGTGAGCAAGTTCAGCTCCCAGCCCACATGAAATGCGGCGCAAAAGCGCACGAAATCGCTGCAGCAGCTCATAAGGCGTATGCGCACTCACACACACACGCGCACTCACACACACGCCCTGCTCCACATCCAACATGCTGCCACACATAATAAATCTAGGACTATCGTCTCAGCTTTAAGAAACAAAAGCACGCTTGAGAATATGCATTAAAATAAAAGAAAAACAGCGAAAGTGAGGTAAAGCTGTTCTTAGTTAATTAGAGAATTAGATATATGTAACTCCACAACACGGCCGTTGTCAAACTAGCGTTCATTAAACAGAATGCCAGAGAAGTTGTACAATGAGGTTTAAAGGGAAAATGTTCCTCTCGGTCAGTTTCACTGGTTTTACTGGCGTTTTTTTCTTAATGATATTAATGAGAGGAGATGCACGTGCTGCTTACGGTGAGGCCCCGTTTCACGTGCGCGGCGGTGTGTAAACGCGCTGTCAGCGCGTGACTGCAAAAGGGGCCCTTATTTAAAAAGCGCAGATCGGCCTCGAGGGAAGCTAGCATTCCATTCATATAAATATCTAAAGTGCATTAAGTCTGAAATATAATTATATTATCATTTAAGCAACAATTAAAATTTATCAAGTATTAACTTTTTATTTATGGATCTACAGGCCTGTTAAAATTTAAACAACTATATCTTATTTGAAGAATGTGCCGTTTTTGATGAAGGCAAATAATCTTAAACTGTACGCATATTCAATGGCGTTTCGAGCACGGTATTCAGTCATGTTACAGGCCTACTACAATGTTAAGTTATATAGGCTATTATGTATTTGAAATTCGCGTCAAAGCATTACAGATGTTATCTAATCCTATTAAATACAATAAAGCAATGTAACAAGGATATCGCTCTTTGAAAGCTAGGACTAGGCAATTCATTTATATTTTATGCAGCACACACAGTTCATAAAACAACACACGGTTTATTACTTTTTTAACCACAAAACCTAGTCGTGGGTTTTGTCTACGACTTAAAATGTTTATTTCTGCCCTTACCTTCCAGGCTACGTAAGCTTGAAAATGTACACTTCGGAAACACAAAGGTCAGGATTTGCATCAACTCTTTTAACACATAAACGCAACACTGCAATATCGGTAGAAAAGTAACTTGTCAATTAAACGGAAACAGAAAAAAACGTGATATTTTTTCTTTTACACGCGTCACAGTAAAATTGAGGCTTTCTTTATAATTATATAATTTAATTGTACGTTCATCGCAATCATTTAACATTAGCCTACGCTGTCGTGAAACGCAGGCTAATGAAAGTTGCACAAGTTACCAGTATATTATATATTAGGTAAAATAACCAATGAAAGTACACTTTTGTCAGAATTGCTCGCCGTGATGATAAAGCAGCGACACAACGCGCCGACAAACGGAGAGGGACTCGGGCGGCGTGTAGTAACGTGTTTAAAACACCGAAATCGTGACATACTGCAAGGCTCCGGTCGCCGTGGACTTTGAATATTTACGATTTACTCTGGATCCGATTATAAACCCGAAGCGACAACAAAGCCGATTCATGCATAAAGTATAAAGCTTTAAAGCTGTAGCGTATTGCACAAATTAAAGTGGAGCGTCTTCCGTCTCAAGTTATCGGCTGCGTGTTACGGAGCAGCGCATGAAAAGCAGACAGCCTCTTAGTATTTGTATGGTTTATTTTAAGAACTCACCCGTTACCTGCCCTGCCATTGTCTTCAATCACTCAAGCCGGCTCAAAATACTGACCGTGTATTAGAAAAAAATGTAGCAATTATGGCAAAGGGAAACGCCCCCCATCCCGGCAGCTCATCCGACACACACTCAAACACAGACACACACACGCTCCCCCCTCCCATTGCTCATTCAATCGTTCCTTTTAGCAGCAAAAACACAGGTGTGGTGAGCTGCACGCTTACAGGCGCTTATCCAGGGCGAGAATCTGCTCATTCCTTGTTGTTGTCCCTCCTTCCTTTTTCAAATACACAGACACACACGCGTAGACGCGCCCGGTCACGCAGACACGCATGGACACACCGCCTCTAACCTTCTTACATTTGCGTCTGTCCGTCATGGAGAGTCTACGGCGGACGTGGGGCGCGGTGCGATCGATTTGCTTCTATTTGCATATGGAGGGAGGCGTACGAAGGCGACGCAGAAATTGTGGCCCGCTCATTACGATGATGCTCTTCCTACAGATACATCAGTCTCTAATGAAAAGTGATACTAATACAGGCTCATGAAAAAGTTTATCAGTAGAAATAAATGGGGCTCAAAACAAATATTTATACTAGGTTTTAGGCTTTTATTAAGAAGCAATGAATTAGGCTGGTGTTTAAAGTGTTTGCGATCTTCAATCATTCACGATTTACGTGCGTATTTTTTTTTCAACTCATAAAAGACACCAAAGACGATGTTAGTGTCACTCGCCCCAGAAATAATTTATCATTCAGGAAATTCATCATGCTATTTAAACCGATGATAATAGAGGCAGACCTATTTAAAGGCCACCCCAGAAGCCATGGCAGGCAGCAGCAGGAGAGCTGTGGTCCATTTGGGACCGAGATGTTAATTAATGGACCTACTGCATTCAAAATTCATAACGGGAACAGGCCTATTAGCAATTAACGATCAGCCGCACTGCTTCTCAAACAAAGCAAATAAGAATATAACTAAGCCCCCTCCCTTTCCCAGAGCCTGCGAACCGTTCATTTTTCCTGCTGTTATTTTGCCTTGAAGGTCATGGTCATCAATTCCCCAGGAGGCTAGCAGCCTGGGCGGGGCCCCGCATCCATCCCAGGGAAACAGAACCAGGCAGAACCCTCGGCCAGAATCAGGCTGACTTCACCTGCCGTTCCGCATCTGTGCCCAGATCCTTCACCTGGAAGGACGAAATAGCTCAATCATTTACATGACATGCTGTCACCTACCCAGTGCTCTAATCTCTCTCTATCTAGCAATTCACGTTAAGTACTTTGCTCCAGGCACTTACCCACGGTGTCGCCTGGGGCGGAGTGATGCTTGCTGATTCAAGTCCCTGGAAGGGTCCTCCACTGAGATTATTAGCTTGAACAGCTCTGGAAACATTTCCAGGTGTATGACTGAGCAAGACAGTAAGCTGCTTAGCACAATGGAATCATAGGTGGGCTGACAAACACTACAACCACTATGCCTCCTTTTTGTATAATAGAACAGTGTTTCCCAATCCAGTCCTTGGGGACCTGCAGACAGTCCACATTTTTGCTCCCTCCCAACTCCTGGTAGGGAGCAAAAATGTGTACTATCTGGCAGGGAGCTGGGAGGGATCAAAACATGGACCGCCAGATAACACTGCTATTGAGGGTATTATTTGCATAATGCCATAAAACAATCCGTATCAAAGACAGGCTCTGTATATTCTGACCTTAAATTATTAAAGTTCACCGTCTCTGCCCTGTTTCAAATCACCAAAAGCGGACTGCAATACATGCAGTTCCTCAGCTCGTTCTTAACGCGGCCTCATCGGCATTAAGAATCCACACATCATCCCATCGACTAGAAAAATATATCAGTTATTAATTGGAGGAAAATTGAACTTTTGAAGTGCGTTTTTATTCTGACATCTATCTGTTTTTTTTCACCCAAACTGATTGCTCTCAGTAACATATTAGACAGCTACATCTGAAAGCAATCCAACCGCAATGCAATCTGGGAAATGCAGCATTCAGTCGATTGATTTTCCTCATCTGTCCTCCTTTCTCTCTTCTTTTACTCTAATCCCCACTCATCTCGGCTGTGCCGTACATTCATCCCTGCTGGCTTTTCATTTTGCCGTTTTATGAAGCTCCTGCCTTCTTTGCCTTTGTCTTTTTAATCGTGCGCGCGCACGCACACACCACGCACGCGCGGGCGCTGGAGAAGCAGCACAGCGGTAGAGCGGCAGTAAGTCCCATTGATTCTCTTCATGTTCCTTACTTTTAATTCCCACCCTTCCAATTGACCAGTCCTGAGTCGACTGCGAAATTACTGCGTTGTGCAGCTGGTTAAACTTCACCTCCCTGAATTTGATTATTTCCCTCCCTTATCTGTTTTTTTTTTTTTCCTTGGGGGGGATTTACTTAACCTATTTAATGCTGCTCCAGTTTATCCTGTTGGGACTCGAACCTGTAACCTAACCTTCTGCTTACAGTTACCTAACCAGTGGTTTTATCTGCTGGAAAATATGCATTACGGTGTCTTCATGTATTAAAAATACACAAAAGCGTACTTCATCGTATCACTCGTAGCTGGAATGTTGGCGCTATAAGTTGCAGGAAAGCTACAGGTGTCACTCATTTGAGCAGGACACTCGAACTGAATTCCTCCAGCAAAATATGAAGCTGCACAAATGAGTAAGAATATATGTGTCTTCGGATGAAACTGTCGGCGGAGCAAATGGGGCTGTAAAATGCACAGGAGTGAGACGGCAGGGCTGCTTCGGTACGGCGTCCAGCTGCGTGGCGATTATGTAACCCGCGAGTGTAAATGACTCTGCGTAAATGTGTCGCCCGGGCTCCTCGCCTAGCTGAGTCATTACGGAGTGCCGTGCTGACAGAGAAGCTGTTGCTGCTGCGTAACCGGCTTTCTGAGTTGGGTTTGGTTATTTGCTACCTGTCTGTTAGCCCGAATTACAAAAAAACAACATGATGCGGATAAACTCACACGCCTTTCCTATCCCCCAATGACTTCCGTATGCTGTCATCCATCGTCGCTAGGTGACAGTCGTCTGAAGATTCCAAAATGATGTCACAGATCTGGTCCACCACTGTGTGCTTGGGGTGTGATGTCACGTTTTGGAAAGAAATGCGGTGAAGGGAAGCGGGAGGGCAGGGAGGGACATCATCGGGGTCTAAGAGCGCTAAAAGCCCTTCAGCGTACAAATGAGCCCCCTGGGATGTGAATGAGACAAGACAGCGCGGAGCGGAGCTGGCCTGCTGGGCGATGGCGCAATGTATGATGGGAAGTGAGCAAGAGGAGACGCCAAAGCGCCAAAGCAATTTCAGAAGGATGGCTTTCGATTTCAGTTCCGGGATTTAATGAGCGGTTTTATTTAGGTTGTCACGTTTAGTGTCTTTACATGGTTTCTTAAGTGTGTGGCCTTTAATTTATCATGTGGTTGAGTACTGATGATTTTCGGAGGCTGCATATTTTAACGGAAAAAAAATAAAAACAGACGCCTCTTGAAAGCGGTGGGCAGCATTAAGTAAGAGGTCTGTTAGGGAAGCAGAGGCAATGACGATGTACCTCTGAGTCCAGTACAGGAACAATCCAGCGAGAGGAGGAGGGACCCAAGGTGAGCGGAGGGACAGCAGGTTCTGACCCAGAGATGTCTCTGAGCCTTCCTCTTGCTCAGCATCTTCAGATTTGTCCAGCAACAGCCCCCCCCCCAACCCTTGCAATTGAATTTCATGCCCCCATCCCCCCGCCTGATTGTCTGGCTAGCTCTCATTTCCTTTCCTACATTTCTCCGTAAATTTTGTCTCTTTCTTCCTGTTAACACCCCATAGGCTAAAAATGGCATCCTGTAAGGAGGGGGTAAACCTTTTCGCACGTAAACAGCGGATGTGGCGTTTAGCAGACTGCCTGGAACACCTGAGAAATGCCACATCTGTTGTTTACGTGTGGAGCAGTATACCCGGCCCTTATTATGGGCTGTTGATGACAGATTCCGAGGTGCTGATTACTGGGGTTTTACTGGGGACTATTTTATTTCTCTGGAAGGTGAGATATGGAGTGAAGCAATGACTGGGCTTTGGACTGGGACTGGTCCTCGGCCAGTACTGGTAGACTGTACTGCCATCACCTGACCACTAGAGGGTAAGAGTTCCACCCCCACCATGCACACGCATAAACACATACACACACAGTCACAGATTTTCATTAAATTGAATTTACCCTTGTGGGGACCAAAAAATGGTCCCCACAACATCAAAATAACAGATTTTTATCACATTGTGGGGACATTTGGTCCCCACAATGTAATGTATACCTGGACCACGCTCACACAAACGTGCTCACACACATGTGTGACACACATACACACACACACACTCCTGAGCAAGTCAGCAGGAGAGGAGGCATTTGTGGATAGCAGGGTAATTGGTGTAAAATGCAAATAACATTACAGGGCTTTTAGAGGGGGAGGGGTGAGCGGCTGGGGGCAGGTGCATCACTAATAGCTTTTTAAAAAGGTTACAGCATGTTGCTCCTCTTTTATAACGGGACCCCGGCTGGGCTGGAAATGCAATTTCCGGAAAAGATAAAGCAAGAACGAAGAGGGGCTGTGCATGTTCCTGAAGGTGTGTTTCAGGGTCGCGTGGCCGCTTATTGTCAGTGCGTATTTGTGCATGAATTGCTATGAATGCGTTTGTATGTGTGAATGTATATGTACGTGTTGGTATGTGTGTGTGTTTGTAATTGTTACATTGTGAGGACCAGATTTCCCCCCATTGTGATAAAACCCTGTAATATTTTTTCAGTCCCCACAAGGATAACCTCAAGTTCATAGAAATCTGTGACTGCAATTAAAAACCTAAAAATGCAAAAAAAAAAGTCTTTATTTTGTATGGTTACTTGTGGTTAGGGCTGGGTAGGTGTTATGGTTGTCCTAGTTGGGATTAGGGTTGTGCCCATAGAAATGAATGGAGAGTCCTCACAAAGACTGTGGACTCTGTGTTCGTGTGTGTGTGTGTATGTGTGTGTGTGTGTGAGAGAGAGAGAGAGAGAGAGAGAGAGCGCGTGTTCAGCTGCATTGCTGTGGCCATTTAAAGACTCCCGCTCACTGGAACGCATGTCCCCTCATAAATAATGAATGATAGGGTTCCTGTGGACAATTTGCTCAGATGGTGATTAGCGACACTTTTCAAAATAGTGTCGTAACTGAATTAATATGCTTCATACGCGACATACTGTTCTAGTTATTTTAAAGAAACAAATACAGCTTTGTACACCTAATTTTTTTATGACATCGGCCATAAAGGATCATCAGTGACCCACTGGTTCTTTGAGCAACTTGAAAAATACAAACAAAAGATGCATTAAATACGTTTCTGTAAATTTCAAAATGACAGCAGACGTAATTAAATAATTATAGATGAACAAATCTTAGTATATTCTACCACCTAAATGAAACAAGATGATTTTGAATAATGTAACAAATGTTAGGAAAATTAATACAATAGGTGAAATGATTGTCCCAGTGGCCATCTCAAATTTGTGGATAAATATTGTTTAAAGACGCGAGTTGTCCTGTTTCCGTCCCTGTAAGGTCTGCTCTTGGGTAAGATACCCCCGGCGCTACCTGACTGTAGTGTTATTTGGTTGCTAAATCCAGTGTAATCACTGTTATTATGTAACGGTTTTTCACTGTTATTATGTAGCGGGAGAAAATGGGGAAAAAATAACGTAGCGATGTCTCCACCTTGTGGACAAAATGCGTTCTATCCTGAAAAAGCGGCTGCAAGTTGGTCATCATTCAGAAAGGTGCCGACTACAAATAAGTAAAACGTTGTGCTAAATTGTGTGCGTGTAACTCATATACACATAAATACACATAAAGTAGACATAGAGTACTAGGTAAATGTTAAATGCATCATCACTTTGACATGAAACATCAGCTGTATCCAAATTTCATGATAATAACACGTATTACATGTTGTTATTACAGCACGTTTGACTCAACAGTACGTTGTTTTACCAACGTTAGTACAGGCCACCGTACCAAATATTACAGAACTGGCGTTAGCACAGGTCTGTTTTCTGTAGTATGGCATGTAGATTGTTGTCTTCTGAGCAGAAAGGGCCGAAGCTTGATATTAGTGGGTGCGTAAGCGTTTAGCTAAGTTTTTAGAGTTATTAGACATTTTTGATCGATATTTAAGCGTCAGCAGACTCATAATAAATCCACCCGCATGGCAAGATATTCTGCATGTGGCCACCAGGGGGAAGTATAAATTCGCTCTATTGCAAAGTAAAACAAATAAGCCATTTTTTATTGCAATATTTATTTTCTTGTCAGACAAATTGTTACAAAAAGAAGGTATATAGGAAGGAAAATAGTGCCTCCGTCAGATCACTTCAAATGACACGGCGCATCAGTCGGTTTTTCCGCTTTAGTGTCATATTTATTCTCATTTTTAAAAAGGACTGGCTGAATAAAAACAGCCAAAAACAGCACCATCATGAGCTACTGATTTGGCACTACCAAATTAAATTCAGTATACCCGCTGAGTTCCCGAGTATGTCAGTTATAGTAAATCAGAAGTTGTCTTGTGGTAAGGCTGTCCTACAGTGCCTCACCAATATTGCCATCTGCTGGTCAAACATATCCACTGCACTTCTTACAACCCAATTAAAGAAGATGCATAGAACCCCTCTTGAACCAAGCCTGATGCGTTTGTTGAACAAGATACCCTTGCAGCTGCTATCCATTTGAATGTTATCAAACTTGATGGAAAATTTAAGAAACCTATTTCAAAAGTAATCCACTTTCAGAGCTCAAGAGATAGTGCTGTATGAAAAAATGTAAACATTTCAATGTAATTTAGGTTATTGAGTAAAAAAAATTGGTCAAACCCACAACGACGTGACCAGCTGTAGAGACCAGTAAAGTAAAAATCTGCTTTAGTCATCTGACTGTAATGTCAGTACACAGCCAGTGTACCAGTGACCATGTCAGTGTATCTTTCAGCCATGATGAGGGTGACACTCTGTGGGGATTACGGCATGTACACGGGTTCGCTTCACCAAACACGACACTTAAGTGAAACGGCTGGTGCTCCTGGTGATCGGAAACAGTGCGCGGTGATCCGGAATGTCTCTCTCGAGTTGCACCTTAATACCACAACAAGGAAAAAAAAAACACCTATGTACAAAAGATGGATTTTGGGAACAAAAACAAGGTCACCCAAAGTTGTAGGGGTGAGATAAAGGAACGTCCAATAAGACAGTTAGCGAGAGATGAATGGAACCCAAGGGGAGAGTGTAGAAGATGGAGAGACAGGCCTTCACGTATGACTAATGTCCATCCATATGTAAGGTATTCATACATAGCATACCAATAAATACCTTCAAAAATAAAATATAATCATGTTACAAATATCACACCTGGGCAGAAGGCAACAGCAAATAAATCTCTCCTGTGCTGTGTGGTTCTATTAAAGCATATTGAGGAGTTTCAGAGGTGGGCAGGTCGATTCCAGACAGTAAAAGCCCAGACCAAGATTTTGTTGAGTACTCTGTGACTCAACTGGTTGGTTGAAACGAAATCTTGGTCTGGACTTTTACTCTCTGGACCCGAGTTATCCACCTCTGACCAGTTTTTGCTGTTCGGCGTTTGATTCCGCTTCTTCATTGCTCTGCCAGAGGGGCCCACAGCGGAACAGCGGGAAAATCAGACAGCAGCTGCCGTGCGCCCGTGTGCCGTCGCCTGGCGTCCGAAGGCTGTCCGCATACAGAAGCTGAACATCAGTTCCCGTAATTGATATTCCACTAGAAACACAAACCGATTAAAATGCCCTCGAGTGTGAGAACGTGTCCTGCGCAGTGTTCTGTCTGTCTAGGGTAGGGGAGGGGTGGAAGGGGGGGGGGCTTCTCCAGCTGGTTACCAGACTTCTGGCAAATTTAATTCCATTGGCAGTGTTCACTGGGTCAGGACAGTGGTTTCGCAGTTCTATGATACAGCTCAGCACAGGAGGTCACTGCTGGAGGTCCCTATGCCCACATGTAGCTAGAAAATCGTTAATTTCATAGGTTTAGCCGAAGAATGGATTTATGGTCTAAAATAACAGTAAAAAACTGTAATAAGTGTGGAGAGAACATAGATAGAACATGGACAGAACCTTTACAGTACAAAAGAGCAGTGAGGGAATATTTTCTCTATCGAGTCTTTGTTCTTGTTCTTACACAATATAAAAGAAAGCGGGAGAAAAACACAACGTTTCTGTCAGCAGGAATGAGAGCTGAGCAAACCAAGGGAGAAAGTGACGCTCAGCTCAGCATCCAGTGAGGAGGGCGGTTTGGGGGTCTGAGGGGTGTTTGCTGGTGGGGCGAGCGGTTTACACTTGTGTCGAATAGGAGCGTTGGAGGGGTTGGCGTCCGGAGTGGGCGGGGCATCGGTGAGAATGGCCGGGAGGGAGGTCTAGACTTCGCTGGAGATGGAGGGAGAGGGTATGAGAACGTCTGGGGGCATGGGGAACCGGTATGGCTGATGGTCATGTGATCTCGCTGAACGGGGATCCCGGAGCCTGGGGAGGAAGGAGGGAGAGAAGGAGAGGGGTGAGACAGAAAGAGGAGGCGAGGGAGTCAAAGCTGAGGACAGAGGAGAGAGGAGAGGCTAACAGCCAGAAGGAGGAGAATGTGGAGGATGAGGAGAGAATAAGCATATGGAGGAAGAACGGAGGGGCAGACAGAGTGGAAGACGATCTCAGCGAGATATTATCATCCCATAACTGCTCTTCCTACCACAGCCCCTCTATTGCACAACCCCATCTTCCACGTCGTCTCAAATCTTTAATAAAGTTCAGTGACGTTTCCTTGACCTTCTGGGAGTCTCGCTAATGGTTTCCCATATGAGGCCCTGAGGAATTTTGGCAGCCAGTGTTCTATGAGCGTTAAGCCCGTATATCTGAGACGTTCATTATGGCCCTGGATCGACGGCTGGCCTCCTGATGCTTACATCAGAGTGTCAGCCGATGATGGATTAAAAATCAGCCCTGGACTGTCGCCCATACAGGTCCACCACACATACATACCTACGATAAAATTTGACGATCGAGGGGGGGTCCCCCACGACAAATTTTGCCGGCCCACAAGCCCATCGGCACCCCGGGAACATGCCCGGTTTACCGGATGGCCAGACCAGCTCTGATGGTCGGAAATCTGTTTCAAAACAACAAAGACCTTACAGATATGGAGCACTTATTATTGCAGAAAGGCAGCAGACTTCCAGTTCGCTTTATGAAGCACACGGCAAACGGTGACCCAGAGGACTGAGTTAATGACTCACTGGGTCAGTGACTCGGCTACTAGTCACTGGGGGAGCTTCATGGGTTAACCTGCTGCCAGGATTTCCCAGTTTGATATCAACGCAGACCACAAGGCAGGGCTGAGATCGTGGGGAGATGCGTGGCTGTGTCTATGAGCATGCGTGTAGGGATGAGTGCGTCAAGACACATGCATGCGTGTGGAGATCCATTCAGCACTGCAGTGAGAGGAAGTGGTCTCCCGACCACAGTCACGTGAGTGCAGGAATGGGCGTCGGTGCGTGAAGGGGACACATGAGTGGCCTCCCCCAACCCCCAACCCCCGACCCAGCGCCACCTCTTACCTGAGAGCCACTTAGCTTTTCCAGTGGATTCTCCACGCAGGGCAGCACCACCACGGGCATGCCTGGTGCAGAGTCAGGGCGCGGCGGCCGCGAGGGAAGCGCAGCCGGCCTGGTCTGCTGGAAATTGTTGACGACGCAGGTAACCTGGGAGAGGAGGAAGGTCAGACAGACGTGACGCATCGATGGAGACGTGACTGAGACTCCTTTGGGCAGCTCTGCTCTCATAGAGGAACAGCACACCTATAAATGGTGCTCCTACTGGACTGGCCCATGTTTGACCTCTCCTCTAATGGAGGAGGAACATTTTTGAGCTGAACCTAAGACTATTCCACAGAGAGTATCCAAAGTAAAACGTCATTCCAGAAGTCACAGGACCTACTTCCCTGTTCTCACCAGGAAGACGGCGATGGCTCCGCCCGTGAAGTAGCCAGCCAGCACATCTCCCCAGTGGTTTCGGTACTCGGTCACGCGCACCACGCCCACCAGCACGGCCAGTGAGAGCAGCGTGAGGCACACAGTGGGCTTGGCCAGTCTGGTGCCCTTGGTCCGGAACACCACTGTAACATACATCTGACAGACAGACATGCACAGTCTCTGTGAGACATCTGTTGCTGGTTCAGGGTTAATGTGGACATGCACTTTGGTTCCTCAAAGATCAGCAAAGCATGTTGACCCTAAAGGAAAGGAAAGTGATCGCAAGAGCTACTCACTCGCAGACAGATGAGGATAGGCTTACAACTATAGGGTAGTAATTAAGACTGAATGAGAAAGCTAGACAGACAGGCAGGCAGAGAGACAGACAGACAGGCGGAGAGAGAGACAGACTTTATTAATCCTTGAGGGGGAAATAAAACTAAAAACAGTTACACAGATGGGGAAAATGTCCATTCAATGAGTGTGTGAGAATGCATTAGCTGGTAATGCTTCAGAGTGTCACAGAGCACAAAATCATTATCCAGCTGTGCAGGGGAATGAAGGCCGGAACTCTGCTATAGGCTGAGCAAGGAAGGGCAGCACTCTGCTATAGGCTGAGCAAGGAAGGGCAGCACTCTGCTATAGGCTGAGCAAGGAATGGCGGCACTCTGCTATAGGCTGAGCAGGGGAATGAAGGGCGGCACTCTGCTATAGGCTGAGCAGGGGAATGAAGGGCGGCACTCTGCTATAGGCTGAGCAGGGGAATGAAGGGCGGCACTCTGCTATAGGCTGAGCAGCGGGCTTTGGGCTGTGCATCTGCGATTCATACCACTATGTAGACAGCAGCGTAGAAGCTGAGCGCAGCGTCCTTTGAGGGGAAGGACTTGCGAGCAGAGGCAACGATGAGTGGGTTGCCAGTGCAGGCACGGCGATCCGTGATGTACTGCGTCACTAAATGGCACCCCAGCGCTGTGTAGTTGGGCCGGCAGGCGGACAAGAAGTGGGGAGTCTGGTTTCCTGTTACCACCTGGCCTGCGTTGGCGAAGATCGTGGTGGTGAACAGGCCGAAGGAGTAGACCCCTGGGAGCGAGAAACGTAAAGGGTTTATAAACGGATTAAGTGATTGGATGCTTAAGAGATCATGTGAGTTATTAATCAGCCAGGACTGAAGCGGTTACCGAGAAAGCGGACGATTCTGCGCAGCAGCGGGTTGAAGTAGCAGCAGTCTGCCGTGACGATGGTCTTCTCTTGAGTACCCTCTGGCTTCAGGAAGAAGGATGTCAGCTCTCCGGCCAAGATCTGCAAGCAGCAACGTCCGTAATACATGTATAATCCTGAAGGCTTCATTGTGGATACATCTGCCATCTCATTGCATAAATCATAATCCTTGATCTCTGCTCACATTTTTAAAGCATGAGTAAGACAGAGTCGAAGCCACCTGCTGATCCACCACCACATCAGCCTGACTCTAGATGTTCCTTGCATGGTTCCTCAGTGCTGGACTGAGCTATTCGTAAGTCAGCAGAATCCCTCTCAACCTACCAGAAACATCTCAGGACCCACCATATCCAGGAATACTTCAAACCGCCTCATTCAACCATTGACCTGCTCTGTCTTCATATCTCTTCGTTATGGTCTTTTGCAAAACACTAAATGCTCTTTGCTTTGCATCACGTTCCACGTTCCGGAGCCGAACCAAAAGCAACCAATCAAATCAGTACCACTTGCACATGCTCAGAGTGCTACTTCGCTGTCACACAGCGAGTCATGTCGTCACTACACTTCTCAGTGTTGACTTTCCTCTCCAGGATGGCAGTTCTCAGCGTAACCTGTGCCTCTAGCAGCCCTTCCTGCTGCACCCACGCACCTGTTGGTACCCTGTTCTGTCCTCATCCTGGAAGGTGCGTTTAAAGCTGCAGTGCCATGGATCATGAAGCACTGTCCGTACGCGCGCTGCGGTCACATGACCGGGAGCTCGCTGTCACGGTGGGAAGATGTGGGATACACATTGATAAAATATACATGACAAATTCCAGGTCACCAGGTGACACAAAAGGGACATCACATGGGCACAGAGGAACGTGGGTAAATTTATGGAAGATGGCATTTTCAGCTACACAGACATACAGGACCAGTCAGAAGTCTGGACACGCCAAGCCGCCTAAAAAGGAGAGTGATAGATTGCCGCATCACATGACCTAGTCACCTGACCATGCCGCATCACATGACTTAGTCACCTGACCTAAACAGCAGAAATAGCTTTGGACATCAAACTGCAGCGTGTGTCTGTCGCGCAGCACGAGGGGGGGGCATGCATCAAACTGCAGCGTGTGGCTGTCGCGCAGCACGGGGGGGGGGCATGCATCAAACTGCAGCGTGTGGCTGTCGCGCAGCAC